ATACAAGTCTAGAGTCTGAGCATAAACAACTAACTGTGAATTTCTGAAATAACTACTAAATAATAAATAGCTAGGTGAGCTCTATGCAGAAATCTCATCAACATGCGACTCTCCGTACGTTGGACTCGATGCCTGAAAGGGGAGAAAACAACGAGCGTCAAAGCGCTATAGCGAGAACATCTCCACCTCTCCCCAGGGGAAGGGTAGGAGTGTATAGAAAATATAGAGAATACATAAGTATAGAATCATTCATATAAATCTAACTAGAGACTACTATTTAGGAATCCATAACACAAGAGTTAGTACATCGAGTGAAATAATCCAAACAAGGAAACCCTCATGTATATACCATGTCTCAAATTGTGAGTCCCTAAATACTAATTCCAAACTCTATGAATGAACAACAACAAACAAATAGATAATACTCTAAACCTCAAACCTGTAGAATAAATATCTCATTCTGATCTACACTCGGGTAGATGGACCGAACATAAAAATAACTCATCCAAACAAAAGCCAACCAAATACCATGTTGTGTAAGTCACGGTCTCAGAGAAAGCACCCTACTCGCGGGTATTCAAAAATGGAAACCAATTTATAATTTCTGTTACTTACAAATGTGCATCTCTTATACATTAGGGATACTCTTGTAATATTCTTACTCAATCGCTCTGTGGTAATAGGTTTTATCTCCCTATCCTAGAAACATAATATGACGATACTTTTGTAATACTCTTATCCAATCGCCCTACGGAAATAGGTTTCATCTCCCTATTCCGAAAATATAATATGATGATACTTTTGTAATACTCTTACTCAATCACCCTACGGAAATTGGTTCCATCTCCCTATTCCGGAAACATAATATTTATTTTTTTTCTTATTTATCATGTTAACACATGATATCTTGGTGTACGTGTACATATATGGTGTTTACTGACATTTTAGATGTTAAACAGCTCATAAACATTGTATCATAACAGTACAAGGTCGAGAGACTAGCTTGAAAACTCAACAGTAGAACAAAACATGCACAGGGACACTGACTGTGTGGCGATCGACCGCACAAGAACGGTGGTCAACCACGACGGGTTCCAGAGCCTACTCAGGCCTCTGTCCTGCACGCGGTCGACCACCGCTATGGCGCAGTCGACCGTGGGCTAATATTCCAGATTCTCAATCTGATTGTGTGTGTCGTGTTCACGCCGTATTTAGGTGATTCAAACATAATTAAAACAACATAAAACTTGCATGAGAGCATGTCTACAGTAGATAAAAACTTCTGGAAACAAACTCAACATATATAGCATGATTATTTGCATAAAATTTATATTCAAAACCCTAAGTCATGCATAAAAACTCAAAACGAAGAACAAATCATCTCTCTTAAGATTAAACCATGTTTTAAATCATTTTCAGATCTTACATACTTCTGTAAATTCATTCTCAAACTTTTTAACACGGAAAGACCTAGTCTTTATACATATGATATAAAAAATTAACTTTTATTCATAAACTAGTCAATTTGGCTCTACAAAACATGTTAGAAACTCTTTAAAAATGTTTTAAAAACTAGGAGGGGGATTAGCAGAGATGAACTCGCCTGAAACTTGTAGAAAAACATTTTAGGATGCCAAGCCAAAGCAGATCTCCAATCCAAAAGCCAAAATCACCCGAAAAACCCACTTGAAAGCCTCCAATAATCTCCAAGAATCAAATTAGGGTTTGTGGGGGTTTGGTGGTTGTTAGGGTTCTTACAAAACTGAGAAAATTCGTGAAAGTTTGATATATAAACCAAGGAAAAAGAATATGGGCTTTAGAAAACCAAAACCAACTCAAAATAGGAATCTGACTTTCTGCAGGTTTAGCGGTCGACCGTGACTTTCTGCAGTTACACATATTTGGCCATTGTGCATGTTTCGACTCTTTTCTTTCTCATGAATGAACTTGTTTGTACTCAAAACACATGGTATCATATTCATACCCCATTTAACAATATTTATCAAAATAAATATCCATAAATCATAATTAATCTCATATTAATTATATTAACATAAATTTTCAGGGTTTTACATTAATGTAGCTCACTCTCAATGATACACTCCCCACAACCAAAATACACTCAATGTGATAATTCTAAAAGCTCAAGGGGTGTGTGTGTAAGCAATGAGTAAATCAAATATAAACTCTAGCTTAATAAAAATGATAATCAAACAATTATAAATGTAAAGATAGAATTGAGTTTAAAAAATCTTCTCTAGAAATCAAGAGAGAGAGAGAGAGATGAGGTTGAAAGCCCAAACACAAAGTAATGATATCTTCATCCTCTTGTGAAAACTACTTCACAAAACCAAACTTGAAACACTTAAAAACTCTTAAACAAACTTGCCCAAAACTTGATTTAAATTTTTCTTAGTTTTACTCAGAAGTTATGAGGCATGGGGTATTTATAGGATCACAAGACATACCCTAAAAACCAAGAAAACCAAGCAAAAATATATAAAACCCAAAAACTGTGCATTCTGAAAAACTAGCCGCTACAGTGTTATAAGTAGACTTGCTATAGTGCATAAGTCGACTTATAACTAGCCGTTATAAGCTGAAAAAATCATATAAGTCGACTTACGGAAATGCATAAGTCGACTTACTACATAAAAGTCGACTTGCTTTGGTGATAAGTCGACTCAGCAGAGAAAAACTGTATTTTTCAGAACAGTTCATAAGTCGACTTGTCTTTGTAGGCGTCTAAAAATACTGATAGATATCCAAATACAGCTCAAGACAATGAATGTCAGAGAGGATCATCCAAAGATCAAAAGAACACAAGAAACAGGCTTGGCTGTCTCGCACGCGAGACAGTGTTGACTGTCTCGCACGCAAGACAGTTCTGAAGAGTTCAGAAACTGCTGAGGAATGTGCATGAGACGTGGCCATTAACTGTTAAAGAACGTGGAAGACGTTGATGGCGAGAATCTCGTTGATAACTACCTAAATAACGATATCTAAAACGTAGGAGAGTAGTTACAAAACCGTCGGGCAGTTTAGGCTTTCCGAGACAGTCATGGCTGTCTCAGAAGCCGAGACAGTCACAACTGTCTTGGCCGTCGAGACAGCCACGACTGTCTCGGAAGCACAATTTCCACCAAGTTGTCCTACTTCGGTTACAATTTTCAGAGGTTATAAAATACCCCCCTGAGATCATTTTTGACGAGGATCCAAGATCAGAGATCGGATTACAAAGCATAGAGTACATAGAGCAAAAAGGCTTGGGCGAATTTCAAGAGTTCATCTCCTTTCAACAATTCGGAGGTTCCTTAAGATCTAAGCTTTGACTTGATCTTGAGAAGAGTATTCATCTTACTTCGATAAGATATTCACTGAAACTATTCTTGCTTCTAAACGAAGGAAGAATCCCCAAAGTCTTCACGATTCAATCAAAATTCGTGATTCGGTGGTCCACAGACTAACGCACCCTCGACACAAACAAAGATCCCACGCAAGCAACGATCCAAACAACGATCTTGTGTTTGTTTCTAAGGAGCTTGTAATTTGATTTTTGTTATAAAGAGTAGTTTTACAAAGTACGAAGCTCACTCTTTTATATTCATTATAATCGATAAACAGTTATAATAAATTCTACAACAGAACTTGTTCCTGACGCAAACAGTCTTAATCATAAGTCAACTTATAAACATTCACAGTCACTGTTCATGTATGAAATCTGATTTTTGATGTGCCTTAAAAATAGCAAATAAATTTCAAAAAATATAAAACTTTTGGAAATGATTATAAACATGAAAATAAATATGTTACAAAAAAAATTTAAATTACATCTCCCAATTGTGAAAACTCTTCATTTTGCAAAATAGTCAAAAACATGAAAACTTAACAACACATGTTTTTGACAAACAAACTTGCACATTCATTTTGAATGGATTAAAGGACTTAGGAAAAGATATAAAATGGTGTAATTTAGTCTTTAATTCATAAACACATATTTTAGCAAATAAACATGATTTTATTGATTTAAACTTGTTGATTAATGAAATCATCTTAAGCACATATAAACATAAAAATATATTTATATATGTGTATTGAGTTTTCATGTTAATGTGGCTAAACACATTGTTTTACCAAAATCAAAAATGATAAATATGAAACATGTATATATGTATATAAATAAGTAAATTTGTTTCATATTCAAACTTGAAAACTATAAAACCAAAATGTGTATGCGTGTATAAGATTGAGCTCTAAGTATTAACACACAAGTATAAACCCTAAACTATAAAAACTATACCCAAGCAATCTTGATCTTTAATTAAGCTCGTCTTGGTAAACATGGATGAAGCTTGAACTAGAATATTTGACTTGAATTGCAAATTGCTTCATTCCGATATTTCTTCCATTCTCCAATGGATATGATCGTGTAGACGCAATTCATCCAACCTCCAACCTCATTGTTTGTCTAGAATATCTAATAAACAAATACAAACACTAGACAAATGATGTTAGGGATATTCAAAATATCAGCATGTCCCAACCTAGTTGGGATTCTAAACATGATGATTCCTAGAGCACTAGTTGATATCCCTTTTAAATTGTTTGCAGTTTTTAAAAGAATAAGCACATATGAACATACAGTACACGTATACAACAATTGCCATGGAAGCTAAAAAAAGTGCGTGATGGAGAACATGCTCAAAGTACTGATAAATTGGTGACATATTTAAGCAGTGCTTTGAAATGAAAAATCAACTTTAATAAATGAACTTTTACATGAAATACATGTTGTAGTTTTACGGAATACCCAATCACGACATACTAGGGGACAGTTGAAGGGGATTCTACATATAACAGTCTTGAGAAAACTTTCACATGATCAAGTGTATCACTGGGCATATCTTAATCAACTAAAATGTGTCTACAGTATAAATGGTACGAGAATGCCTCTTCATCCACACCTACAAAATCGTGGATAAGACCATGGTAATAACAAATTTGGGGAAAAACTTTGAAGCTTAATTAAGTTGAAAAGGAAGTTGGCTACATATTTCACATAACAAACATCCGATCAGATGAAGATCAAAACAACAATTCTTCCATACAAACTTGAGGGACACTCCCCTTCTTAACCCATAGCATATTTGAGTGAATCCCCTGCACCCTGGAAGAAGCAATACGATAGGAAAAAATCTGCGATAAAGATTCCAACGAGCGAGATCACCACAGCCGACGTTGTCGACTCACCAACACCCTTTGCTCCTCCGAGTGTCGTCACACCCCAAGCGCAACTTACCACCGCAATAATCCCACCAAATATCTGCGACTTTATCATTGCACTCACTATATCCCAAGGCCTCAAAGCCCTTCTAGCCGAATCCAATATTATATTGATACTAACGCCATATACTGCATCAGCAAGAAGTGCACTAGACGCTAATCCAACAGTGAAACACATGAGAGTAAGAATGGGAAGCGCAACAGAGCAGGCAATGACACGAGGAGTGACAAGGTAGTCAACAGGGTGGGTTCCAAGTACCCTAAGAGTATCAGTCTGCTCAGAAACCTGCACAAAAAAATGTGAATTTCGAGCAAGCAATTCATCGATAATTTAGGTTGCAAGATGAAGTTTTGACAATTGATCGAGCTTTGCTAATTTAGTTGCCAAGTAAGGGTCAATTTAATCCTAGTGTCCATTTTCAAACAAGCCAGGTTCAATTAATACCTAGATAGTAGATAAATGTGTTTAAGATGAATTAACTAACTTCTTTGAAATATGCTAATCTATACAATTACATGAAATTTCTGCTCAATCTTGGTAGCCCGATTCCAGTTATCCAACAGCAATAATAAAAGCGATATAAAGCGAAATTATAATAGATTGTAAACAAATTATGAAGCAAAAGAAGTCTATGGGAACTTTTAGCCCGCCAGCTAAAATCTTGAACATTGATCAAGCACAATAATTTGGTTTGTGAAGTCAATTTTACCTTAAATATGTATGATAAAAAGTGCCAACTTCACTAGTAATTTATTGTTTCTCCAATTTTTTTCCTTCTTCTTTAAATATATGTCAATTCAATTCAAAATTACATAAACTTTCTTGAATTGTTCTAAGTAGACCAATTCCAACCAATTAAGATATATGAATCAATGTCTACCTGCATAGTACCGAGCTCAGCCGCATAAGCACTCCCGACCCGACCAGCGACAACAACGGCAGTGACGACAGGGCTGAGCTCACGTGCAAAGGCGAGAGCAAGGACCCCACCAACCGACCGCTGGAGTCCAAGCCTGGTGAACTCACGCACGAACTGAATGGTGAAGGCCATGCCCACGAACGACGCTGTGAGAAGACACACGCCCAAGGAGCGTGAGGAAGGGGACGGAGAGGCCCCGCCATAGGGGACGGGGTGGGGCCCAGTCGCCGAACAAGGGCTTCGGGTCGCCGGGTGAGGATGAGGGTTCGGGTGCGTTGTTCGTGATTTGGGTGAGTGGGTTTCGAGAGCAGGAGGGTTTTAGGGTCTTTAAGGTGAATCTGGGGATGAGTGACTCCGGTTTGAGAAAGGGGTTAGGGTTTAGATGAGAAATTACGGAAGGG